ACACGTCTTCCACACCCTGCAAACACCAAACACGAGCTTTGCAGGAAACATATCTTTCTGTATCCGTTCCACCAAACAAAAACATTTCTTGAATAACCCTCTCACATCTCTACTCGTGATTCCAACGAACTCACAAGTTATATAAGCGAACGATATATATACTTGTGTATAATGCTGGTGTCTTCGTTGGTCTCCAAATGGTGAGACATCATGATGAAAGATCTTTCCCTATAAGAATCCTTGGACCAGACCTCCATCATCTTTGGCAAAGGTTTGGGCTATGTTCGGTCTATCCCGGTCTCCTTTACAAGCCCCTCTTTCAGCCGGATGTAATGCTTCCGGTCTGGATCCGGGTTCTACCAAAAGTCACCGCATCTCGGAAGCAATGTCCGGGGTCGGAAGAATGCGTCGATTTCACAAACCTGGCTATTGGTTGTTCACCTCAAAATATTGCCTTTATTAAGCAACCAATTATACACGTACACGCTACACGGCCATCGATGCTCGGAAGACTTTGAGATAACAAATACTTGAGAGAGGAGGGGGTGAACGAAAGGTAGCAGGCAATCACAAGTAACCCTGGTAGAAGTCCATGACGGCGTGAACCGGCGCCAATCCCAACTCCTGATTGTAATACATTTTTGCTAAAGCAAGGAGAACTCAGGTAGCTCAAGCTACCTTTCGTGAAAAGGACAAGTTCCAAGAATCATGTAAATAGAACACTTCAAATTGTGCTTCTGTATATCATGTAATGCTCTTTCTCTCTTTTCCAACACAACATAAAACATCATCAAACACCTCGAGCGCCAGGTGAGCTCGCTCCTCCGGGTGCTTGTCTAAGGCATCCAGAAAGGCTTGCCGTGGCATCTCTAAGCAATTGCAATACGTGGTCGCCACCACAGAGGCCTCACACACACAGTGGGCGGGGGGAGGAGCCGAAGGACGTCACTTTATTGTAAATCCACTGGATGGGATGTATCTGCTCAAGATTATACGTGCAGGGAGTCCCTGCATGATGCATTCCGCATCCTCAACCCCTTCTCTTTCAACCCTAGGCCCTAAGGCGGGTATACGGCAAAACCACTAGAGATCAAAGCCCAAACAGTCGGAAGTTCACATCCCTGAAGCTTCTTTTGGAATTGGAAACATCCTTACCACTCATTCATCATAAACTTCGATTCTGGACTTGGGAGTTTGGGAGTTTTGCCACGCCAAAGTGGAACAAAAAGGAAGTCTTACTGTTATAGATGGTCAATCACGGAAACAACCATCAATGAAACAACCGGTCAACCCGGGGTCCCCCGGTCGCGAAGAATGCTTCGATGCGACTTCACGTCGAAACGTCCCAAAGCTACGTCCATCCTCTTCGCGAACGGAAAGAAAAACCGTCCATCGACCGGCATGACCGGTCACGTGACACGAGATGTCATCTCTCCGAGTGTCTGATCTCAGAAGCACCAGTCCCAGCAACGTCAGTTCGCCTGGCGGTCTACACGGTCCACAAAGGACGATGACGAGGAAGCGATGCCGAGGAAGCAAGAAGGACGCGGACGGCACGTGTGAGAATGTGACCGCGACGCGGTCCCTTCAGAGGCGAGAGAAGAGGATGCACAAGCTCAACTGATGAGTGAGATGAGTGAGTTCCTGATGTTCCAATCTTTTTCAGGTCAACCACCCCAAAAAATGTTCACCGTATCACCACCGTTCACCAACGCTCAAACTGTTGTCCAAATTTTAAAAAGTTGCGGGTGGCCGAACATGGAGTTGATGTCACTGTGGTCATTGGATGCCAAAAACAGCGATAAAACTCTCATCTGAGCCGGGACCCTGTTAGCAGCCAACATATGTGTCCAAAAACCAGCAGTTGCTCGACTGCTGTCCCAAGGCACCAAAAACATGTCCGGGCGAAAGCTCCTGGAGGAAAGGGACCCGGAGAGCACTGGTGGACGGTCTGTGGCAGGACCTAACTGATCCTCCGCCATCCCAAAACATCTGCTCTTCCATCCCCAACAGGTCCAACAATCAACAGAAGTAGCATCCCTTGTATGGTCAAAGGCGAATTAGCCATAAGTATCTTGAGAATTCTCAGGTCCTCCTCAAATAAAGGTCATGATTCTGATCGGTAAACAAAAACACCCACACACACCTGCAGATCTTTGAGTCTTGTCTTTCTTTGATCCACACCCCTTTGTGAATCAACAACCTGAATAACATCAGCAGAACGATCTCCTCTTCAGCCTGCACTTTCCCATTGATGATCACTGAAGCTCTCCCAGTACTGACCAGAAACAGTGATCCTTGGTTCAAAAGACCATCATGAGTCTACTTAAGCGAAATCTCAATCACTGAGTTTTGAAATTCACCCGCTCCGCCCGCACCGAAGGTGGTGGGGCGTGTGTATCCGGATGGCATAGTCAATCGCAAGATTTCAGCTTTGGCTGGGGGGGCAATTATCGAGCAAGAAACCTGAGTTTTTGAAGATTGTTGAACATCGAGTGCAAAAAACACGTAAATAATGGCAATTGATGAAGGTTTTGGGAGTTTTGGGACACACATTTGTTTGAGGCGTTCTTGAACAAGCAACAAAACAAAAACGTTGTTTTTTGGTCTAGAACCGGCATTAAACAACATCAGCGGCTTCATGGTACGGCTCTAGCTGGCTAGGGACGGTAGGACACCAGTCCAACTATACTATACTATACTACTGCCCTGCTGATACCACGGCAAACTAGGAAAGCAAAGAAAACAGCAACATAGTTGAAAGGCTGTAGCTGGTTTCAGCAGATAGCTCTCCAGTGCGGGTGGACCCAGCCGCGTAGCGGCGCGAAGAAGTTCTTCACAGCATTGATGGTGTTTTAGGTCCCAACGCATAGCTCCGAAGAATTCCTTTGATTATGATAATACATTGTGGCATCACTATGACATATTATGACGTACTATAACATATTAGTATAGTATATATTTATATAGACACCCTTCCTCACATCACCGAACAGATTCGGCTCCACTAGATTCAGTCGGTTCCCTCAATTGTTCCAATACTTTTCTGCAGTTGCTCTTCGGCTTCAGTCGGAACCCCGAAGAAAGGATGGACACCGGAGGTTGGCTGCCGACATCCGACGGTGCCGGTCCCACCGAAAAGGATCGGGTGGACGGACCTTGTCGGTCCGTCACCGTGTGGGACATCTCTTGAGTGATGGTCGATGGCTGTCAGAAACACAAGTTGTTTTTTCCTTGGGTGCGACCCCAAATAGACCTTCAACTTTGAAAACAATAGACCTACTAAAATCGGTCCGGTATGTGCACCAGTTTCGGTTTGGCGGTGTTCCAGTGGAACTTAACTTTTTGTGTCCCTATATATGTTTATATTCTTCCACGCAGCGCCCAGCCAAAAAGGCCGAGAAAGCATGGGAGGAGATGAGGACGCGGAAGGTGGTCATGGCTTGCATGTCAAAAAGACTCAAAGACCCTTTCGAATCAGAGGACTCGGAGTCCAACATGTCCACGTGTACTGTGGGACTGCCACTCTGAAGAGTGCATCAAGTTATCCATATGAGAGCTCAACAAAAGGTTGATTCTGACCAACCTTTTGGGTTTTCAGCTACTATTTAAGTCTCTTCAGACTCCTTGTAGGGAGCCACTGCAGGGACGACCAATACTCGAACCCATGCGTGAGGACTCCAATAACAGGGACCGTCCAACTGACAGGGTCCCCAAAAGTGACCGGAAAAGGCCGATTGGTGCAGAGATACACTCCTTGAAACAGTCAATAGTCATGGAAGATCATGAAAGTGGAGTGAGTTCACCGCCTGTGTGGTAGTTCATTGAGTCTTCAGGGCCATGCATGGCCATACCCCCATTTTATAGATACAGAACGATCTTCCACAACCCTACATATGTCAACAGCCTATACCTTAATTATATATATTGGATCTTCATGGATCTTCGATCAACAAAACCACCATCTCCCGAGCCGTTTTGGACAGGTTCAACGAACTTCCACCTTGGAAAAATCACTAAAAAAACAAGTGGGGAAAGCAATCCGGAGTCGGAGCCAAGGCTTCTTGTGGCCCAAACAGGGTGAGACTTGCTCCCCACGTTGAACATCTGCAATCGAAACATATCGAAGCCAGTTGTCCCATTCTGCTTTGCAATTGACTTGAAATTTGACCCATGTGTCTACATCTATGTGGCTAACCTCGAAGAACTCTCAGCCAAGGCTCGATCATCAATGGCCGCCTGAACCACGATGGTTTGGCCCGGTTTGTAGGCTCGCCGGTGGATGCACTCGCCAATGTCGTGGATAAAGCCTGATGGGGGGGCAGGTCATGGTTCAGTTCAGTGCCTTTCCATGATTATATAATGGTTCTGTCCGAAATTCTCTACATCTGGGAGCGGTCATTTGGACAGGGCATCGGGCTTGGGTTTTCCTCATCGGTTTCAAGTATGCTCAATGTAAGACCTACCGACAAACAGCTGTTGGTTCCGACGGTTTTGGACGGATCTCATCTCTTAGATTTCCCCAGGTGAAAGAGAAAACCCGTGAAGTAGTCCAATTGGATTTGTCTCACGCAAACCAGCAGAATTACCACAAGCATATCATAGCTCTTTCAGAACAATATCATTTCGCCGTTTCTTATATATAAGAACGCCATGGTTGACACGCAAATCCAAAGTTGTTGCCACGTCTCAATGTTGGATTCCTCAAAGGACGTCATTACATTAGATATATGTATATACACGTACACATATATTATATATAAACACTGTACTATATATACACTGTATATACACTGTATATAATGCCCTGCCAGTGACACACTTCCCTATTCAAGTCTCCTCTGTCATGGAACAAGGGTTGGCCGACAGAAGACAACCAATTGGTTGGAGAAATCATGAGCAATCCACAACTACCAAAAAATATTCCCCAAAATACAACCCCGTAAAGAACACAAGTGTGGAAATAGATGAATTTCACCCGATGGATTGGGGCGTTACCCTCAGTTTTGAAAACCCACTTGAACGATAAATCTGTTCAAGAAGCTCTGACCACAGCCACGGAAGAGCTTCAAATCATGCGCATAATGACTCATGTCCTCCCGGCCGTGGTCCGTCCGTTGCAAGCTTCGGAAGTAGGCGCCTTCCTCGGTTGTGTACGGTGGCCCCATTTGAGCGTCCCTGGCGATTTCGAGGAATCAGGAACAACTCAAGGGTGCCTTTGTTGGTGCAAGGTTGGGTGTTTAAATCTGTAAGGTTGCCTGATTATATAACTAAATCTGATGGCTTATAGTAGATGCTCATTATAATATAAGTTTGGCAACACATCCGGGATCATGTCAGCCCTCCCCACACCACACAGGGAGATGCTTGTGTCCTTTCAAGTAAAGGAGGCAACAAAAAGCTCTGGACATGTCTCCACCAATCTCCAACGAGAGTGATGGATAAGTGGAGGGAACGAGGCCAAATCGACCGAAGGAAGGTCCTTCGAAGCCCGGTTCGTAGTTGGATCCAGTGGTTCACCAAACCCACAGACTGGTCATGGCTTTTGGTCCACGTCTCTGTCTGGAAATTCCATTACCGAGCAGGAGAGTCTTGATCCCTGACTGACCAAGCAACATCAACAAACACAGGGAGGGAGTGTGTCCCTCCAATAGTTCACCAATGGAGACCTGGTGTCCCAGGACCCTTCCCGGAGACCTGGTGCAGGACCTGGCAGTGAAGGGGATCATCTGGATCATGTGGGAGCCATGATGAGTCATACGAGCATCAAAGGGATAGCCATCGTTGATAATGTTCTCGAAGGAATGGTGTGGGATCCACAGCATCACCAAGAGGGGTGTCGCTGCACGGAAGGTGGCCTGCAGGGCGAATCAGTTGGGGAGATGGGGGGAGCTGGAGGCTGGGGTGGTGCGGTGTGCGGGTCCAGTGTCGTGGGTGCAATGTGGCAGCCGACCACTTGGGTCGCAAAAGGTTTTCTGTGGCAACGACGTGTAGCAGCGTAGCATCGTGTAGCCGCCTGTGAAATGGTGCGCATCCCCAGGAACATCATTTCACCCAGCACAGTTCCCACGTCGCTCAGTGCCACGCTGCCTGCAGGGCTCCAGTCGTTGACGACTCGTCGGCTGAAAAATCGTTGGCCCTTTTGGATCTTGGCTTCAAAAAGACACTCGGATGGTATGTCTTGGGATGTGTGTTGCTGGCCCCATCTTAGGAGCAAGGACGCTACTAGGGGCTCCTGGCCATACTTCTAGTAAGAAGCTACTAGGAGCAAAGGGCGTTGCTACGAACGGAGCAAGGACGCTACTAGCATGCAAAACAAACTGGCTACATCGATGGAACTGGCAACATCGATGGAATGTCCGCCTTGGCGACTGGTCTCAACTCGAACTTTGCCAAACTCTTGTACTCGCAAAGTCCGATCCGTGGTGCCCTCTTCCTGGCAGCAGTCCGAGTAAAATTTGCCAGATCGAAAGGGTTCAAAGGGTGCAGCATGTTTTACCACCATCGGCCCTGAAACAGGACCTTCCACAAAGGCAGGTTGAAACGGCCAAACGTTTGTAACACTTGGTCACTGGTCCTGGCTCTGGATACCGGCGACCAACAGGGGTTCTTTCGGGTGCACTTGTGATCCATTGGTAAGCTCAGAAAAGCAAACCATGCAGTTCTTTTGAGTTCTCTCCAGCAGAATTCTCGTCCCCTCTTTTTGTTCTGTTTACGATGTCGGCCTTGAAGACATCTCCCAAGAAGTTCATCTTCCGCTCAGTGATGTTGGCTAAGGAACGAATGAACGCAGGGTTCAAGCCTCAGCATGGGCGATCGCAGCTAAGGCCCGAGCGGCTTAGCATAGCTTAGCAGCTAGGCTAGCTGGACCAACATCAAAAGATAACTGCCGAAATAATGACGGAACATGACCCCCCCAACAAAGCAAGGGCAAGGGTCTCATTGACGCCACCAAATCTGACTCAGTTGCGACCAATGTGCGGCAGCAAATCTGACTCATGGGCGACCCATACACACGTCCCGTTTAGGACTCTATAGGGTTTGGGGTGAAAAGAATGGAGACGGACTCCGATGCAGACCACCCACGCTGGAATCTAAACCACCGAGCAACCGATCTCTGAGACCAATTTTTTCCGTGTGATCGAGGAAGACCGAGACCCTTTCCCCCGCAAGAACACTGGGATTCCAGCATGGTTGTCTGCTCACTCCGGTACTGAGATTGTTCTGGATGTGTTTTGATGATTCATTGATTGATGCATCATCATTTCTTCTTGGCGGTTCCGGAGAGCGGGTATAAGTACTTACGGTGTTTTGGAGTTGTGGGGGCGCTTGTCCCACATATCCCACAACAACATCTATTCTCCATTGGGTAGACCATGATAGACCTTCCAGTGGCTTTCTACAGGCTGTGTCTTAAACTGGGGATCGCCTATGGCTGCTAGGAGTGCATCTGACACGCCGGGCCGTTCCTTCAAACCATGGATGAATTCAAGTTTGACCAGGCGGAACGTATTGAAAGGCTATTGATGTTTCATCATGTTTCATCTCATTTTTTTCTTAGGAGCAACGACGCTACGATCGGGGCTCCTGCCATCGCTACTAGGAGCAAGGATGCTACCCGGAGCTCCTGTTCTCACCGAGCCCCTTGAGCAACCACACGCTCCAGGAAAGCACCGGCTCCGAATCCGATGCGACCTGGTCACCATAGAAGAGCTTCATGCTGGCGAGCACATCCGTAGGCCTGGTGTCGTGCGTTAGCACATCCGTCTGCGTCTGGAGTTCGATATTTACAGTATGGTTTGAAGACTGCGTTCAAGCATCTTTTCTTTCTGTAATATAGGATACTATAGGTGGCTTGAAGGATCTTGTTGGCCTGCGTATATGGCACGAACTTTAGAAGAGGCGTTTTGTTCTTTGTCCAACCCTCGAATGCCTCTTGAGTACAAGAAAAACACACGGCAAGTGGAGAAAGCGAAAAAGAACCCCAACGGCCCCAATGCATCTTGCCACGGCGTTCAGGGAATCCATTCAACAATGGTGGGTCCAATTCGAGATCTTTTTCGCCGGCAGACCTGGCACCCCGTGGGTGCATCAGTCATTTTCTACCTCGTGGGGAGTGCATAAACTTAGATTGAATTTGACCCAATCACGTGATGGCTGGTACCCCTTTGGCCAAGGGGTGGGTTAGCTATGGAATGCTATGGATAGTTACTCGGTTGACGAGGCGCCTTTCTGGTCGTTGCCTTCTTACTGACAGTCCTTGCTTGAGTTCTGCCAGTCTTTGTCCCAAACAGCCAGCCATGGCATTTTCAATACTCAGGCCATGTGCAGCTACATGGGCTGCGACAGCTACAGTAGAGACCGCTACTCGGACACCGAAAACAACCGGCGCAGCAACTTTCCCTAAGGCCTAGTCTTCCCCACTGGAGATGTTTGCTTTTCATCTGGATGCATCCATGCCTGGTGAGGCTTCTTTGCAAGATCACTGATGCTTCCCTCGAGCGCGAGACATAGATTGAGGTCAATCCTTAATTACTCGGCGCGACTGGAAATGGTTGCCAATCCACATTTGGAGTCGTTGTCAATACGAAACAAACAAAACCATTTGTATCGATTTAGGAGGTGGGGGTCTCGGTATGGCCTGGGCAAAGTGGTTCATTGCTGCAAATATTTTGAGATGTACACTACTTGTACCCTTCCAGATTTACATCTTCTTACATTTTCTTGTGGCCTGAAAATATCTTCGAGCGTGATCGTAGTATCTTTGGGTGGCAAGGAAGGGGACCGGGGAGGGAGTCTCACAAATCAAAAGCCTGCATGAGAATGTCCCCCTAAAAACGACCATTCCATCTTAGCCCATTGCCACAGAAAAAAAACAAACTTTTTCGGTGTCGTGTCAGACGCGTTTGAAGTGATGTTCGATTGCATTCGATCACTTGTGTCCACTCTTGTTTTCTCTTGTTTTATACTTGATTCTGTGAGGCCACTGGACCTCCACACGCCCTGGATCCAACGTGCAAGTTAGTGCACCCTTAGTGCTGTTGGATTGGTACACCCTGCTGAATGATGGCCAAGTGTCCAGGATAGCAAGCCATCACATCCAGCAGCCTCCTGCAGGGAAGCATCGGGTGGCCGTCCGTGGTGGGAATCCGTGTGTGGTCTTGCATTAATCCAATAGCAATGGCCTCCAAACTAAGATCGATGGCCTCCAACCTAAGAGTGATGGCCTCCAACCTAAGAGCGATGGCCTCCAGCCTAAGAGTGATGGCCTCCAACTCAAGAGCGATGGCCTCCAACCTAAGAGCGATGGCCTCCAACCTAAGAGCAATGGCCTCCAAACTAAGATCGATGGCCTCCAACCTAAGAGCAATGGCCTCCAACCTAAGAGCGATGGCCTCCAAACTAAGATCGATGGCCTCCAACCTGAGCGCGATGGCCTCCAAACTAAGATCGATGGCCTCCAACCTAAGAGCGATGGCCTCCAACCTAAGAGCGATGGCCTCCAACCTACTAGCGATGGCCTTCAACCGAAGAGCGATGGCCTCCAACCTAAGAGCGATGGCCTCCAACCTAAGAGCGATGGCCTCCAGCCTAAGTGCGATGGCCTCCAACCTAAGAGCGATGGCCTCCAACCTAAGAGCGATGGCCTCCAACTCAAGAGCGATGGCCTCCAACCTACTAGCATTAATCTGTGTGGCTTTGCATTGTCCAAGAAAGTAGTGGTCTCTAAGGCCACTTTTCCTCGCTTTCCTGTGCTCCGTCAGGAATTCCGGTGGTGTGTGCACAAGCGGTGTGTGTGTGTGTGCGCCAAACAGCGACCCATACGAAGCGAAGAGAAGGGTTAAACCCATACTGGCCAGTTGCCAATGGTACATACTCCAGAGTCTTTTGGCCCCCCAGGACCAAACTGCTTCAAAGGACGATCTCACCTCCTTGGAGCCAAACTGAGAACTGCGAATGAAAAAAGGGGGCTTTGTTACGTTCGTAGCTTCTGGTTACTATAGTAGATAGTAGTAGTAATGCCCTTGTTACTAGTAGCGATGCCCTTACTAGTTGCTTTGTCCGCCCCAAACAACGAGGGCCGAAGGAATTCCGCAGTTCGCAGCCTGGACGGCAATTCAATGGCTTCGGTGTCTTCATGTGCCTCATCTCGCGATGTGAACAAACCACAGCGCCCCCCCTTAGGCCTTTTTGCGGGTCGAGTCCTTCTTCGAACATCTGACTTCAAGAGACAACATCCGAAGGACCGATACGGCAAGAGGTCACTTGAAAGAACACACCCCATGCTCCATGCATGCATGTGAAATAAAACGTATTTGAGTGCAGACAGCTTGCGATCACTGAGGCCTGTCGCGAGATCCAGGACTCGATAAAGCACACGTCTCCGATCATCGTGCCTAGCGATCTAGCGGTTACAACGAGAAGGAGGCGCGAAAAGCGTCACGCGTATGTAGATGTGATGAATCATCAAACTGCCCAACCAACGATTCAAAAAATGGTTCACCAACCCAAACAATGTTCACAAGAACCAACGGCTTTGGGATGCTTTGGGTGAAATCACAGCTACAGCAACTTGACTTCCCATGACCTGGGAAGCTATTAGTTATATTAGTTTCCCTGAAAATCTACGAACCCAATCATTAGTGCGAGCGCTTCTTCAAGGAAGCTGAGGGAGCTTCCTTGAAGAAGGGTGAGCTGTCCTGCGTCCAGTAGTTAGTCGCTACTTGTAGGTAGTATATAGCTACCTCTAGCTACTAGCTTGCCTCTAGCTACTACCTACTCTAGCTGCCTACCCCCTTTATAAAAAGGAACATCCTTATCACATGGACAAATCTCACAATTCCTTGCAGCGGTCTTTCTCAGGTATTTGAACTACATTCTGTGCAGATGTCTGTACTATGAGTTCTCTTCAGATATGGCAGAAGGACAACCATCACAGAAAAAGCATTCAAAGATTCAAAGTGAGGCCACCAAGGCGGAGGCATGCTTCTGTTTCTGCCCGCTACATGAAGGAAATCATATTGATCTTGAACAACTCTCGCCAACTAAACCCTTCAAGCACCTGTTGATGTCGTTCCAGAGCTAACTTCAGTACTTTCAAAAACAGCTCATCAGTTGACCACCAGAATAGCTGCGGCGGTGCCACATCCACACAGCTGTTTGATCCAGGCACCTGGGTACAAGCGCGCTATCTTGAAAGGCTGGGCTTCCAAGAGCTTGCCATCGAAGAGGATCTTGTTTACATCTGCAGAGCCCTTTGAGAGCACCAGTAAGGACCTCAACGACATCTTTACATCCGATGGCCGCCATGGGCCTTCAGCCGCCAAGACCCCTCCACCCAGCTCGTTGGACATTCAGCAAAGCTCCCATTGATGATCCAAAAAGTGAACACGCCCCATCCTCCGCGTTTGGGCCCCAGCCGATTCTTCAATATTGTCTCTTCCCATCTCTTCCCTACTCCACTAGACCAACAAGACGGCATACCCGTGCAGTTCGAACCCGGTGTGACCCTCACTATGTCGTTGTGTACAGTTCGTACGCCGGGTGAAGTCCCGGTGGACCGTCCAAACGCCAACGTCACCGTCTTCAGACGGTCTTCGGCTCCAACGGGAGCCTCCATGGGCTTCCGAAGCAACAAATGGTCGGAAGAAACTTGAAGAAACCACAATGTCCATCCCAACAATCACTGATGTACATCAATGTCATTGCCCAAAGGGGTCTCGTCTGCCAAGAGGCTCCACGGAATTACAGCCTCCTTCTTTCACGATGAGATCACCAGCTGCGTAGCTTCGCAGCTCGCTCAGCGACGCCAGCATCCAAATGACCTCAACTCGTGTTCATCCCTTCTGCACTTAAGTTTAGACAGAGCGTCAGTCTGAATATGATAATATAAATTTACAGTACATATATATATATATTGATATGCATATACAAACATATACAGTATACAAGCTCTCTGACCATGCCAAGTGTAGCTTTGAAACAAGATTCTACATGTTTCATCACTTTTTAACTATACTTGGCTACCCATGGCTATCCTCTCCGAAATTTGGGCACTCTTCCACCCCGTTTTCCTGTGTCTGTTTCGATTCCGCCGAGACGCTTCTAGAGGAACATTTGGAAACGCTGCAAGCCGGATTAAGGTCTCAAATCGATACCGAACCTGGGGAGCGTGTCGTCACTCCGGGCACGCAAGCTGCGCAAGCTCTTTGCACTCTTACAGAGTCTTTTCAGGCTCCAGGCTGACTGACTGCAAATCTCAGTGATGTTCAATGCAAGAGGCGGCTTGTTGATTCTCTTCAAACATCTCCAGTGACGGGGTCCCCGCAAAGACATCATAAATCCGCTCCCAAGAGATGCATGCCAGCTTGCATAGACCAGCCCTCGTGCCAAGGAATCCAAACAGCCAAAAATAAGAACACAAACAAACACGCATACAAAAAAAAATGCAAAAACTGTAGGCTGCTGTCTCCTCATTGTTTTGACCAGCGCCATCAAGAACTTTTCTGTAGAAACTCTAGACATCTCTAGACTCTAGAATGGGCCTGACATCTTTTTCTCATGCCACAAAGGTTCGACAAAACCGAGCGACACCAATCGGCGTGTCATGCTCCAAGTGTCTGCATGTCCTCCTTCTGCAAGAGGTTCCTCTGGTTCGTGAGAGCATCCACCACCTCCTCAGTGCAGTCTGCATCTTTGGCATTAATTCATCCGTGACA